GTTATGGGGGGGGAGGGGGGTTGCCGCATGCTGGTTCCCATGCAGCTGGAGCGATGCAGTCTCAGCCCTTTTATCAACACTCTGACATGCAACATTAGGCAGAGGGACCGGGAGGTGACTGCACAGATTAGCAGCATTAAAAATCTGCCTCCCCCAGGGTTACTTTAAGGCAGCTGTTACTGCTGTAGGAGTTTATATTCTGCCCCCCCCCCCCCCCCGCCCATTGAAGGCAGCTTTAACAAGTCTTTGTCAAACAGGAGTCCTCCATCAAGTTAGACGCTTAGGGAATAAGGTGCTGTAGTTCACTGGCATTTCTCAAATGGTGCAAGCTATTAGTACATAAAATGGTTCTGCAGTGTAACTGCAATGTTATCACCTTGAGGACTTAAGGGGTTAACGGCAGGGCTGCTGTGTAAAACGCGCTGCAGAGGTAGGCCGTTAGCGCTCCGTCTTCGCACACTACAGTTGCTCACGCACACCTGAAACGCCAAGCTTCCTGCAGCCCGAACTTCCTGCGAGGGGAAATAGGTAAAAGGAACTGAACGTATTCACACGTCCTGTGTTTTTTAAGTACAGGAGCAGCTGCAGCTCCTTGAAAATCTGTTGAGGGAGATGTAACTCCTCAACTGGTGCCAAACAGCTGCCAGATGCTCTTAGCGACAAAACAAGCCATAAACAATTCCCAATTTGCCATGTCAGGTCAACAGGCCACTCCCACTGACACCTGGGGGGGGGACGCAATCCACCTAGGACACAAAACACTGACTTTGCACGTTTTGTTCCAGAGCTATTTTTTTCTATTTAAAAAGTGAGAAGGACAAGTTTTATTGGAACTAATGAAGAAATCAGTTTGCAAGCAAACATTTTCATAGATAGTGGCTTATGCACTTCAGGAGGTACAGCAAATGTAAAAACAGCTAATAGGGTTACATATATGTTTAGCAGACCCTTTCATCCAAAGTGACATGCAGTTGAGAAAGCAGAATTAGCCAGCCCCTGGAGAAACCAGGGATAAGAGCCTTGCTCAAGGGCCCAATGGTGAAATCATTCTGCAGAGTCTGGGATTTGCCCCAGCGACCTTCTGATCAAAGGAACAGTATCCTATCCCACAGAGCCACACACACACACCAAATCTTTAGGAGTCACAGTGGAGAAGATTGAGCAAGCTGGCTGTCTGTGATTTTGTCAGTTATTCCAACATAATGACAAAACGTTGTTTGTTTAACACAAATAATTCTTATTAAATTAGGTCAGAACTTCAGAGATGGCTAAAGTAAACAGTCAATGAATTTGCTTGAACAGGATATCGATGAGTCTGACGGGACGCATGCATCGACCGCTTGACATCGAGGTCACCTGACACATAAGCACGATGTAATAACTGAGATCTGCACTTATTACGGATCAGCCACAAGCTCAGCTGTTCACTGTGGCTATCATGTAATAACTGAGATCTGCACTTATTACGGATCAGCCACAAGCACAGCAGTTCGCTGTGGCTATCATGTAATAACTGAGATCTGCACTTATTACGGATCAGCCACAAGCACAGCTGTTCGCTGTGGCTATCCTGTAATAACTGAGATCTGCACTTATTACGGATCAGCCACAAGCACAGCTGTTCACTGTGGCTATCATGTAACAACTGAGATCGGCACTTATTACGGATCAGCCACAAGCACAACTGTTCACTGTGGCTATCATGTTACAACTGAGATCTGCACTTATTACGGATCAGCCACAAGCACAACTGTTCGCTGTCGTTATCAACATTTCGATGCATCATATGGTACAGGCCTGCTGAGGCTATACCCAAAGGTCAGCCTAGCTAGACACAGCAAAATCCCTGAATGGGATATAGTCGAGGCTTTAAACCTTTTTATTTATTTATTTTGAAAGCCTGTTAAGTATTTTAAATCAGCCCTGTCCTTAAAATGCTACAGCCCAGTACCAATAAATAAATAAATGTGTTTTATGACAACAGATATAAACAGATTCCAATGTCTTTAGTATAATTGCTTCAAAACTACATACTTGAAAAATAACTTCGCTAGTGTATGCTATTGTAATGCATAATAATGTTAGGAATATTATCAGTCTGGACTTGGGTCCTTTTCTCCAAAGCAATGTATTGCTGCAATATTTACAGCACTGTGGTTCTTTTAAGAAAATCTGTCCTGGAGATCAGCTCATATTAGCCATGCTTACTGTGAGACGGCACAGAATTCACTGAAACCCCAGGCAGCTCTGCTGTTCGGTAAGGTCACCATGGATCCTTACTCTTGTGTAAGGGAAGGGCAGAACAAAAAAAAACAAAAAACAAAGAAAAAAGTCTTTACCATCCCTTAGCTAACACTGACAGACTCCATGATCATTTTGACCTGTGACCTCGTATTTGCTGAACTTCCATCATTCTCCAATAAAGTGTAGCAGTGCTATGGCAACACAGACGGTCACAGAATAACAAAAACAGGTAGATGAGCCATTCTTCTTGTATTGCTTCGTGTGTGATAGCAACATTCTGTAAGAAAATGACACGTCACCTCCTTCAGATTTGGCCCGAGCTCTTGCTTCTTTGGCATCAAAGCCATTGAACTCAGCCCTAATTTCACAAGAGGCTGCGTTACTTTGTCACTCCTGGCATGCAAGTCTGTTGTTTTGAATCTGAAACTGTGGGAGTGAGTACTATCAATTTGTTTCCCCCTTTCTTACTGTCATCCCCTTTCACTTCAGTTTGACTCGTGTAAATCTTTATTCTTTGTTACGGAAGAAGTGAGCATTGAACTATCATTTCCTGCTCAATCTTCAGAGACAAAGCGACTGAGGTTGTGAAGATGCTCTGGCTGGAACCAGGCTAGATTGGTCAAGCAGATGTCCAAGGTCCCAGCTTGGAGAAAAAAAAAACATTAAAGACCTTGTAAGGGTTGTAAAAATGAACATAGGAGGCCTGAAAATACCTTTGTGCTTCCATTTTGAATAAAGTAAACACGGTGTATTTTATGTGTAAACTGATCCGTATGTATTAAAGGTAGATGGTTCTGGATTTAAATGATTATGTGGAACATTTGGAAATAGCTCACAAAGCCCTTGCAGGAACCTCAGAATTATAAACGTTTAATAAAATTATTGCTTAATGCTGTGCCCAACAAATACTTCCAAGAAGTAATACTGTTGGTATTTTTCCACTTTTCCATGATCCAAATAAAAAAATAAGTACATCTACATTTAAGGCATTATAAACCAAAACATGCATGTTAAAATTGAATACAATGCAACTGTATCTCTTAAAATCCCGGCTAAATAAATAAGCACACTAAGAAATACCTAAATGAGAAACAGCTGTTTTATCCAGCCAAGATTTTCCATAACAGAATGTAAAACCGTATTAAATGTCATGTACCTGTGTCTTATTTGAAGGAACAATAGATTCACTTGTTTAAGGCTTAAGAGATTTTGTATCTTGAGTTAACCTGCCCTACTTATTGTGGGTTAGGGTTAGGATCTGTGCAGATATTCCAAAGGCAGCAAGGTTAAAATTCGCATTTTTAAAACCTCTGCCATTTGGGGTTTATGAAAATAATCAATGACAACTTGATGTGAAGCAGCCCGAATTGGTTTATCCCACTTATACCATGGCTAACGAACAAAAAAAATAATAATAATGGAATGGTCACAGTTCATTTTTCAGAAGAAAATAATTTAAATTGGCATTGAATAACGTTCCAATGTGATGTTAAAAATATAGCCCCTATAAGGATAGAACGTCTGGTCACTGGAAGCAGTAGGTCCGTCAAATTACGATAGAAACCATCAACAGACGGGTGCTTGCACTTTGAAAACCAAGGAAAATTATGCTGATAGGAATGACTGCTTATTTATGAGTAAGAAGTCACACAGGTTTTTATATCAACATGTTTAATAAAACATTAAAATGCATTA